GTAACTATTCTAGATTTTAAGACTTTAAGTGACATAACATTCAAATGCAATGCACCGATTTGACTGGAAATTGGAATAAAAATGGTTAAAAAGATGGGGGGACAATTTGTGGAAAATTTAAAGGATTAGTTATTAGATAATATAGAGGAATTATTGTTTGGTGTGGTTATGATATTGAGTTATGTGGGAAAATGTTATTTTTATTAGATACACATTAGAGGTGAAATGTCAGAAATATAAGCACATATATTTCATATATTTCATATAAGACAAAATATTAACAGATTTAAAATCTGAGTGATCAATATAAAGGGGTTCAATATGGCATTTTCTCTACTTTTCTGAATACTTGTTTTCATAATAAATAAAACAAAAAAGCTTAGAGAGAAAATTATTTCCCTTCTACTCCTCTTTCCCAGTCACTTCTAGCCACTATTACCAGTATGTTTTCTTCCAAAGATATTCTATACATATATATGCAAATAAACATATTTTTTAAAAAATCACAAATGGTTGTACATCCTCTTTTCTATTTTTTCCCTCCAATTTACTACATCTTGGCAGTCACTCACTATTAGCACATAAAGGGCTGGCTCATTCTTTCTAACAGATGCACAATTTATTTAACCAGTCTGCTACTGACAAACACTTAGAAATCTCATTTCTTGTTAGTCCTTTCAGATTAAAAATTTTAAAAAAAATCTAATTGACTGTAAGGTTTCAGTTAGAGATTTAGCATGCTGGATATACAATTGCCTGCCTAGGTACTCTTATTTACTGAATACACAAATTAATCCCAAACTTCCCACTTAGATAATGCAGTTACAAGTTACAGAATACATAATATGTGTATTTCAACCTGAGCCATTCCTTATCCCAGAACCAAGTCAGCTAGCATCTACCATTATTTCCTGCTTCTCTTGTACAGTAGCCTTCAAACTACATATGCTCTAACCTAGATGTACAATAATCACCATTCAGTTTTCCTTTTTCAATCTTTTAATTAAAGCGATTGGTTCTGAACTAACCTGATCAGACTCCTTCACAACTCCTCCTTCCAAGCCATTTTGAAGTTCTCTTCAAAAACCAACTAGTATCTTTAATAAAGGCTCCTACCATTTTCTAGATGCAGTAAACTCTAGAAACTGTAACTGTAATGTAGTTTCTTCTCAGCAAAAGTCCTTAGAATATCTAACTTGGTGTAGCAGGAAAAAATAGCTTGGGCATTGTATGTGAATTTCGCCACTTAACCCTTCCTAAATCAGCTTGAGCGAATAAATTATCATCAAACTCTCGGGGCCCTCATCTGAAATGTGCTCCCATAAAACACCTTCCATTATAATATCTCATTAATTTTTTTGTGACAGACCTGAATGTATCTGGCACTTGTTGATTCTAAATATTATTTTCCATTGTTTCATTCACCACCAAACTGGAGAAGAGGGCTTAAAACAAATTTTAAGATTTCCCATGGGATTTAGGCTCTCAGTAAGTGCTCAAAAGTTATTTTGGCTCAAGTTAATTCGATGTAAACCATTATGGTGGATAAGGCACTCATTTGCTAGGTAAGAGAAGTTCCCTTAACTTGAATGTCAGCCCCAAATTGCTAAGAGCCATGAAAATCTCAAACTTCCCAAGAAGACCTAATGTCAAAGACTCTCAAAAGATGGTTCTGACTCTCAAAAATGGCTAAATTGAGCAGATTGAAGGGAGAATGGGGCGCAAAGCATTTCCTCTCCATAATTATGCATCGAGATTCGGACTACATATTAAATTGACACATAGTAAGCGCTCCATAATTAGTAGCTATTACTAAGACGCATCCCAGTGGCAGAGAAGATGGAAGGAGGAAAAAGAACGGAGGCTGCCAGTTACAAGCGATCAGAAAGTGTCCCTGGCCTGAGACCCGTAGGCCTTTAAGCACCTGGATCTATGGACTCCCTGAGGCACCAGGGCCCTAAGGAGGTCAGAGGCCTCCCCTAAAGGTCAAGGATGTGTAGCCACGTTTTATGCTGGGGCGGGGAGCAAGACTGTAACGCCCCCACGAATCTGTACCTCGAAGCCAGAAACACCGCCTGCCTGTAAACCCACGCGGGCTCCGGGAGAGGGGACAACCAGGTTGTTCTGCGCTGCAGCCTGGAGGAGCGGAGACTCGGCCACCTCCTGCAGCTCCAAACCTCCTTAAGGGACAGATCACCGGACCCTCGGGCTCCCATACGCCTCAACGCAGCCTGACCCCTGGATACTCACATTCACAGCTGACCCCTCTTACTCCATCAGGCCGCCAGGGCCCCGGCGAGGGAGCTCCCTGACGCCCCAGACGCCCCCCTCAATCGGGTCCGGCGGCCCGCTCCGGACCCGCTCCCCGCCGGGCACCGCTGCTGCCGCCAGCGCGCAGGCGCATAGCGCACCCGTCGCGCTCCCCGCCCTTTTTTCCCCTTTGCAGTCTGCCTTTCTCAATAATCTAGCTTTATTTGAACACATGAGAGTGAACAACGGACACAGGGTAAAGAGGCTTTTCTCAGAAATAACGGAAGACAACCAAAGGCAGGCTGGCTTGTGGAAGAATTAGTCCGCTGCCTTTGACGTTCCTGTGACCAGCCTACCTGGCCCCTTTCTCATCCTTTTTGCTATTTCCGGACCTTCCTCTTGCTCTTACTCTCTTCCTAAACCACCACCATGCCCCTTAGATAATGGCAACAGTTTCAGCCAAATTTCCAACCACTCCTTCCTTGTAAAACTTACTGATGCTTAATGGAAGTTACAAAAGCTTTAGAACAGACTGACTTGAGTTCAAATGTTGACTTAGGTACTAATTTATGACTTTGAGCAAGTTACAACTGTCCTTGGAATCTCGCTGTCCTCAGAGTTAAAATTAATATCATATCACTTGGAATCTTGGTAATTTTAAACAACATAACATAGGTCAAGTGCTTATCACAGAGCAGACAATCCATCAATACCTATGATTATTTCTTAATATATACTGTATTTCTATTTATTATTAAATGGCCTATACTTATTCTCTCAGGATACTATTTTAGTGTCTAAAAGTAGTCAGATGAACCAAGTTATATTAAGGTTGATAATGCTGTGAAATGTTACTCCTATATTATTGAGCCTCTAATAATATCTATGTGTAACAAGACCAGTGCCTCAAATCAAAGTAAGGAGCTCTTTCCACCTATGTGTAAATTCAGATTTGCTTCTAAAGGATTTAGCAACTGTTCCAATTCTGTATTTGTGACATCACATCCTTGAAACACTCAAGGTCCAGAGTATGCTGCTCATCCTACTTTTCTTTAAAGGCATGCAATGAAAGAACTGCTTTACCTTATAAGCTCAGGGCCATAGCCCAAGGAAAAGCTTATAGAAGACCAAGGGCACCTGTTGGTGAACATCAATCAAGGTAATCCTAGATCAGGGTTTCTCGGTCTTGGTACTATTGACATTTTGGAGATAATTCTTGTGCTGTCCTGTGCATTGTAGGGCATTTAGCAGTATCCCTGAACACTAGATGACTCTAATGCCCCCTTACATCTTTCTCCACTCCCCACCTCTAACATCTTAACAATCAAAACTGTCTTCAGACACTGCCAAATGTTCCCTGTAGGGCAAAAATGTCCCCAATTGAGAATCGTGGCATTATACCAGTGACCAACCCTAAATCAACTCAACCACTCATATTTTCCAATTCTATCCTCAGGAAGAAATTACTGCTTGAGAAAGACACAAAAAGGCAGAAACCTATCCTATACAGGCCCTCAACACTACTTACTATTTTCTCTGGTCAACTTGCTCTATCGCTTTCTACAATATTCAATATCTTCACTTTTCTCAAAACTTCCAACCCCTTTACTATTAGCAGATGACCTAGTATCCTACTTTATAGAAAAAAACAGACGTTATCAGATGAGAATTTAACTTTTTATTGCAAAACATACAAACTTACAGACACATACTTCCTCTTGTTATAATTGAGGATGTATCTTCTCTCTTCCAAGATATTCTTCCCATCAGTGCTTTGGATTGCCTGTACGCTTACCCTCTCAAGATCTTTACCTGCTGATTAGCACTTCTCTCTATTCAACTGTATTATCTCAGTTGTATCTTCCCTATCATGGTTACGTTTAATTCTAACGAAACTAAAAACAAAAACAAAACAAAACAAAAAAAACGTAAATAAAAATCTTTGAACTCTTGTCATCCACTTTTCCCCTTCCTCTCAAGGCCAAATTTTCCAAAAGCATTCTACAACTTGTCCCCATTTCTGCATCTCCCTGCTCTCCAAACTACTGCAATCTACCTTTCAACCTCATAGTTCTACCACATAGCTTTCACTACAGTCACCAATGACCTCTATGTTACTAAATTCAAAAGATATTTCTCAGACTTCGTTTTCATTTTCATTGACCCTTTAGGAATACATATTCATTCTTTAACTTTTTCTTTCTCTCCCCCCTCCCCACCCCATTTCCAATATTGTGCTTTATTCTTAGAGGTGCTTGGATGGGTTCCCATACTTGCTTAAAAACCTCAATAGCTCTTAGTGGTCATAGTATAAAGTGCAGGCTCACTAATCCAAAAATTCAAGACCTTCCTAGATCTAGTCATTGCCGACTTTTAAAAATTTATTCCCCCCTTTCACCTAGAGATATACGATGAGCTCTAAGCCTCACCAGGATGAACTACAAAGAATTTCCAGAAGATGCTATGTTCTTGATGTAAGCTGTTCCCAGCGAAGTCTGGAAAAGTATCTCCCTTCCGGACTTCCGGGGGAAATCCTACTTATCCTTCATGATTCAAAAGTCACTTCCTTCGGGAACTCTTCAAGACACTCCTAAAAATAAGGCGCTTTGTTCACTATGTGCCAATGGAATCTCGGACTTTATATATGCCGTGCATTATATTCCAACTCCCATAATTTGTTCACATAGCTATCTCCCATGGAAGGCAGGGAAGTCATTACATTCGCCTTTTCTTTCTTAGTGTTCATCTCACACAGTGTCTGGCATATGGTTTGCCCTCACTAAACGTTTGTTGCATGAACATTGCCCACCTGCGAGCCGGACTCCCAATTATCCCTTTAACGGGTGAATCTCTACACTCACTGCCAGCGTGGCAGGGAGATTTAAACCCCCAGCACGGTGATTGGCTCCAACTGCAGGGGGTGTGTACGCGACCGCAGCTCCGGGAAGTGCGCAGGCGCGTGGCGCAGGCGCACAAAGGGCGGAGCTCCGGGTGGGGTGGGGTCCGGTGGTGTCCGAGCTTCCGCGGCGGGAGAGGAATGGCCAGAACTGTTTGGTGAGTCTCCTGGAGTAGGGGTGAGGGAGCTGGCCGGGGTGAAGATTGGGATCATGTCCCAAGAATAAAAAGTATATCAGGTCAGTTGAAAAGTTGGTGAGGTCGAGCTTAAGTGGAGGAGTGGACGCTCTGGCCCAAACTGAGCAAGTCCGGCCCGGAGCCGGAACGTGGGGCGACCGGAGAGTGTTGGGCTGGCGGAGGAAGGGTATCGGGTGATGGTTCCCTGGACCCTTCCTTGAAACCAAGCTGAGATAAAATCCCGCTCCCTCAACACCTACTCCCACTGCGTTGCTGTGGTAATAGTTAATAGTCTAGTGACTACAGTGATCAGAAAGAAAACTCTAAACTAGTTGTTTGAAGAAGGTCTCTGAGGCTCATGGCATTGGAGAGTCCATGCTCTCTAGGAAAGTCCATAATTACCTCGCGGCTTTACTGCAAACGCAGGAAGAAAAGGATCGGTAAAAACGAATTTCACGGTTCGGGGTTGGAGGGCAGGAGTGGGGGGACGTCGTGGAAAGTGCTGTTTCATCTCATCCTTTTTATTGTCATTAGTCACCACAATGTTAGGAAAGGCGGCTGAGGTACAGGAAACCTAAAGACATCTAAATTGGGAAAAGAAGATGACAAGGGAGTATTTTGCCTTTTGCTACTTGTCATCTTCAGGGAGAGAGGAGCTACTGGGAGAGAGCAGTTTGAATGGAGAGTGGCAGCTTCTGACAGCGTTCCCTCAGCCTTGTGAAAATAATGTAGCTTCTTAGTAGCAGATATTTCAAAAATTAAGAAAGATATTACTCCATCTGTCCTGGTGCTCTTATAAGACTGATTTTCAGATGTCCCAGTAAAATACTACAGATACGGCCAGGTAGAAACGTCTTCTGCATTTTTGCCTAGCCCGGAAAATACTACACTTGAAATTCATGAGACAGCATTAGCTAGAATACTTTGAGATCTATTCTTAAAATACCTCATGGTAAAATTTAAAAAAATTAATATTTCTGTCACCAGCAAAGTTGATGCTTAACTATCCAGTAATCACTTGTCATTCATTGTTTTGGCAAGAGGTAATTATAACACATTTTTTTTTTTTAATGTAAATATCAGAAAATAGGAGAAACACCTCTTCTCACATTACCCTGTTCCTTTGACAGGTCATGTGAAAGTAAATAAAATGATCATATAACTTAGCCTACAGCTTAAATATTTATTAGTGTTTCTAGGATTTTTTTTTAGGTGCTTGTGGTGTGTAGATATGCACTAGAAAATTGCTGTTGTCTTAGTTCCAGAATACAAATGACTTACTGTGCCATTATTTTCTTAACAATATAGTACATCCTTTCCTATAAACAGTAGAATTTCTGTATGCAGTTTAGTGTTTGTTTCTTTTACTCTAAATGAATTTAATTAGAAGCTCACCTAAGTAAAGGTCACATATTTTCTAATCATTCAAAACACAACTGTGAACCAAGAAGAAAGAAAGCAGTCAAACAGGTCCTTTTACTCATGTGATAGCTGTCATTACTTCACTTATGAATTATACCACCATCATAAATTTTGCCTTTTAGAAAAGTATCTGTGTTATTATTTTACTTCATATTTTTAATAGACTTTTTAAAACATTACCATCTTCCAAAGTGACAGTCTGTGAAATTATGGTTTTGATGTATTTTTTACCTTTTCTAGTACACGCTTTAGTAAATATATAACTCTTAAATACACATCTGTTGCTCCCATAATGGCTAAAATCATAGCTTGTTCTTGCTCTACACTTTGGAAAATACTGGTTCGGGGCTTGATCTCATTTTTAAAATAGTGAAAATTGGACTACCTAAACTCTAAGGCCAGAGGACTTCAAAATTCTGTGAGTCCTGTGATTGGCTTCACCATTATGACACAGTTCTAACTAATTTAGTTATTTGGTTTCACCTGATGAAAGTAGATTTGACTAGCAAAAAGAGGAAAGGATGTTAACTGACGTTTTTGAGAAATCAGCTGCCTTTTTTTTTTCTTATGATTAAGGCACTTTCTTTTTCTCTTTTGGTTCCTGTGCTTTAAACATTCTGGAAATTTGCTTTTCACCTGTGTTTGTACTTTGCATTATGTATATATTAGTATTTATAAAATATGATTTTGCTTGCATCTAAGAGTGCCAAACTTTTTATTCCCGTGCCATATTTTATTTCCAGGTCTGTAGATTGACAGAGGACTAGATTACAAGGACTGGTATTTTCTTAGTCGTGGCGGGTAGTGGCTTGAAACGGATGGATCCATTGCCTACAACAATTGGAGGAAGTGGATTGTGGAGCCAGGAAACAGCTTGTGCTGTTCCTTTTGTGTGGGGGTGGAGGTGGTGTTCCATTTGCACTCATTTAAATTCACTGATATTTTGGTTTTGATTTCAGTTTAGATTGTGCTTCTCCTGAAATATTTAAATCACTGATCACTATATTTTTCTGGAATTCCCTCATCTTGTTGGTTTTTGTGAGTTTTGTAACTTGGATTTAAAGTTTGTTTTAAATTTATTCTAACAATGTTTTTTGACAATTAAGAATACCTTTAGGTGGCCCCTTGATGCTTAGAAAATAAAATCTAAGCTTCTTGGTACACAGTAGACAAAGCCTTTCACAACCTGTCTCCTGTCTGCCTTTTAAAGCCACCCTTCCCCCTTTATAGGTGCACACGCATATGCGTGCACAAATGTTATATTCCTGCGTAACTGCTGAGGCCTTACATTGTGGCACTTCTTTAATAATCTAAAATCACACTTTTTTTTTAGAGTTGATCATGCTTGGATTTTGACTCCCAAATCAAAATCATGATAGATGTTTAATAATTATTGTGAAAAATTATAATAGCTTTATTAAGCACTATGTGACAGCCAAGATTCTAAATACTTTGCATGAATTAACTCAGTACTTATAACAACATTTGAAGTAATCATTATATTCTCATTTAATGAGAAAACAGTCATGGGAAAGTTAAGTAAGCAATAGTCAGGATTTAAAAACATATGCTGGGCACTTAACCAATACACTCTGTTGCCTTTCATATAAACAAGAATGCCACTCTTCTATCTACAGTGTGGGGATATTCTTTTCCAGGGACCTGAGTACTTATGTTTTCTATCTGTGACATCCGACTCCTGGTATCAGAATATTTTCGAAGCTAACCAGCAAGCTTCTAGGTGAATTTGGAATCAGCCAAAATCTTGGATGGTTTGGGTGAATATTTCATTCTGGCAAGATTTGCCTTGCCAGTCATCTCCACCTCACACTTGGTATCACCTTGGAAGATTCCATACATATATTTGCCAGAGTATATGTCTCTGTTCCCTGGAAAATGAATGTTGCATTCTTGAGCCTTATCTTTCATATAGAGCATCCCTTTTCTGTTCCTACAGCCTTTCTTTTAGACAGGGTCAATATAATTGATTATAATCATATTTAGATCTGCCTCCCCAGGTTATACCCTGGTCACTTCGAGTAAAATTGTGGAAGCTCCAAGGTTGAGCAGGATATGAAAACTAGGTATTGGACATCAAATGATTAAGGTGTAATAATAGATGGTTCTGTAAAACTGAAATGTAATTTTAGTCTTTTGGGTTCATGATTTTTGGTGGTGCTTTCTCATTCTGATTTCTGTCTTGCATCATGTGCTTCAGTGCTCTTTGAAACCAAGATGTTTAAAAGATACAATTTAGTGATGTACTTATATCTGCATCGTTTTGGAGCCTTGACAAAGAATAAAGTTGTTTCTGAAGAAGAAAGTAGAAAGGAAACTTAAGAGAGGAAGTAAAAGGGGGAAACTAGCGTTAACATGAATAAGACTGTCATCTAAATGCCTTCAGAAAGAATTAAATTTCCTAACTAGAACATGGATTTTTTTGGGCCTAACCTAGAGTATTTAGAGTATTTTGGAATACTATACACCCATACTTGTAGAGTATGTGTGTGCCCTTCTTTCCTTCCCTCTTCCTTCTTTCCTTGTGTGTGAAAAATTTTAATGTTTCATATTAAAAATGGAATCTAAGAGCCAAAATATATTCCTAAAAAGAAATTAAATTCTTTTACCCAATAAGTGATGGTCCACATCTGAATTTCTACTTTGTCCTCTGTAATCCTTCTATTCCTTCTGTTTATTCTCCATCATTTATCTTTAGAGTCTTGAAGAGAGAGCTGCTTAAGTGTATTGTACACTTACTTGTACTTCATTAGATGCCTAGAATAGTATCTAATAATTTATGACATGAGTTATTAAGTTTGAGGTAGGGATGATTGGTAAGGCTTCATTCTGCGTGAGCAAAATATTTACCATCTCAGTATTTTAGCTCCGATTCTAAGTTCACCGAGAAGCTTTTTGATTAGCTTCTCAAACGTTCTGATACCAAGAGTCACATAACCACAGACAGAAAACATAACAAATAACGTGAGCATAAATGCTCCGTTCATTAATAATTGTCACTTAATGAGTCTTTACTCTGTGCTAGGCACTGTACTAAGCACTTTATATACATAACTAATTTTATTTAAGAAACAACTCTGGATGGTAGAGCTGTTAACCTAAGGATTGAGGAAACTGAGACTTGATAGGTTAAGTAAATTGCTTGGGTATCAGAGCTAGAATGAATTCAGGGTCTCTCTGACCTCAGAGTCTATTTTTAACCACTACTTTATATTCACTCAACACAATTTTTTTTTCACTCAACACAATTCATTAAATTATCTCACCTTATCTAGAAATAGCTTAGTCACAGGATAATTAATAACTGAAATCATATTCAACCTAACTAGGCCTTGACAATAGTTCAGTCTTGGCCTTAGGCTATAAGGACTTTAGTCCAGCTATAAAGACATTGTCCCCAGATAATTGGTTAATTAAGCAGAAATTTCTATGTGCTACTATTTTCCATATGGTGTTCCACAGAACCTTAGTTTCTTGGAGATTACTAAAAATATTCTTGAAAGATTTTATGGCCATCTACATTTGACTGGGATAGCCACAGTTAAACAGATTACTTCACTGCTTCAAGATTTCAACCAAGAATGTAATTATCTAGCCAGTCTATAATGTGAGGATAAATATA